ATCGAGCCCCACATCGGGCTCCCTGCTCAGCGGGAGGCCTGCTTCTCCCTCTCCCACTCCCCCTGCTTGTGTTCCCTCTTTCACTGTGTCTCTGTCAAATAAATAAATAAAAATCTTTAAAAAAAAAAATGCTTCCTAAAGTTTTAGTGAACAGCAAGATGGGTGAGGTAGAGGCAAGGGAGTTGATAAACTCAAAGTATGAAGTGGGGAAAATAGAAAAAGAAGGCAGAGGTAGAAGACCTTTCAAGCATGGGGGCTTAGGGATAGGAGATTTTCAGTGGACCATGTTTTCACACCCCTGCACCTTTGCTTATGCTGAAGTACCCATCCCAGACCCTCCAGTGCCCTTTTTCTCCCACCTGTCTGCACAAAATTTTTTATCTCTGCAGTCCTTGACCGTGAAGTTGTGTGTTGCAAAGCTTTGTATTTTTGAGGACTTGGCAGTTGCGTACAATAAGTGTGCAGTAAATGTTAAGCTGAAACCTTTTCTTTGATCTTGAAATGGTATTCCAGCGCCCAAAAGGGGTTTGAATATAAAAGGGAAGGAAATCAGTCAAAATGTTCTGTTCATGGGGTATTGAAGGGGCGTCTGGAATGGCCTCGTCCCTCAACGCTAACCCTGAGAAAATTGCACCTATCTGGCTCCACACACGTTAAATTCTAGACCCAGCTGTAGCCTGGGACCAACCAAACCCATCGGCCAAAAAAAAAAAAAAAAATCGGGCAGTGCGCACGCAGTACGGCGGCCGACGTGGTGCACGCGGGGCGCATGCGCGGCAGGGCCCACGGTGTGTGCGCTGCTCGTGTTCCCGGCATGGGCCCCTCGCCGCCGCTGTTGACCCTGCTGTTGCTCCTGTCTGGTCCGCGGTTCGAGCTAGGTCAGTGTGCTGGCCTGGCCCTGTGTGCCCCGGGAAACGTCAGGAAGGGGGTGGGTCCCCCGCCCTGGTCGGGGAAAGAGACCGTGGCCCCTCCGCCCGCTTCCTGGGTGGGCTTGGAGCGGCCGGAGGCACCTCCCAGAGGCGGCCAACTTGGTCAGGTGGTTAACGGCTCATATCCTATCTAACTTCTTTTTTACTTTTTTGAACATAAAGTAAGAGAACATAAAGACACCCCCTCCCATGTACCCGTCGCGCAACTTGAAACAGTTGCCAGTTTATAGCTAATCTTGCTGTTTCGGTATCGCTCCCACTTTCCCATTTCCCTGGGGCCTTTTTGAAGTGAATCCAGGCATTACACAATTTTATTTGTAAATACTCAGCTTGAAAAGACAAAGAGTCATGAAAAAAATGCCGTTCTCTTTCCCTGCCTTAAAAAATTAACAGTTCTCGGGCGCCTGGGTGGCTCAGTTGGTTAAGCGACTGCCTTCGGCTCAGGTCATGATCCTGGAGTCCCAGGATCGAGTCCCGCATCGGGCTCCCTGCTCGGCAGGGAGCCTGCTTCTCCCTCTGACCCTCCCCCCTCTCATGTGCTCTCTCTCTCTCATTCTCTCTGTCTCAAATAAATAAATAAAATCTTTAAAAAAAAAAAAATTAACAGTTCTCAATATCATTAAACGTCGGGTTAGTGTTCAAATTCACCTACTGTGTTTGTTACAGTTGTTGAGTTAGTGTCAAAATAAAGTTCATACATTGCAGTTGTATGTTGTTTCTTAATTCCCTTTTAATCTGAGATTTCCCTGCTTGCTCCATTTTTTTCTCCCTTGAAGTAGATGAAATCATCAGTGTGAGTGTGTCAGAATGAGAACAAGAGTGTGTCAGAATGAGAACAAGAGCCGGGAGCCCGATGTGGGGCTCGATCCCAGGACCCTGGGATCATGACCTGAGCCGAAGGCAGACGCTTAACGACTGAGCCACCCAGGTGCCCTTCTGGGGAGCATTCCTTAGAGAAACATGAAAAGACGGTGGACTCTGCTGCCATTAAGGAACTTATGGTACTTAGATATCCTTCAGAAGAAACATAACATTCTAAAGTGTGAAGACAAGTGTGGTGGGTTGGAAATAGCACTGACCTGGAAGTAAAGAGACCTGGATCTAGTCCTTATTCCTTGTTAACTAGCTCTTCACGTGATTTTCCTTTTGGGGTCTTGGTTTTTTCCTGTTAAATAAGGGGTTTGAATTAATGATCCTTTTAGTTCTGATTTTCTGAGATGTTCAAACAGCAGATATGAGGGATCTCAATTGTTTGCTAATTATTGTGCTCTTGTGCCAGATGCCGGGAATACAGTGGCAAAATAGGTATTTTCTGGAGCGTATGATATAATGGTGAAAATCATTAAGAAGTGGGGAGGAAGCGGCAGAGAAACAACAAGAGCAGAAGTATGGATAGAAAGGTGCTAGAAGTATTTCAGGTTCTTAGTGTCTAGATTTACCTAGCTGGGACAAAGAGTTGTTGTGTACAGGAATAGAGCAGTAAGGACAGAAATAAACATTTGTTGAATAATTACCATCTGCTCACAACATTTCACACATGTAATTTTAATTTATACAGCGACCCCTTGAAATAGTTAGATGTTGTCTCCATTTTGTGGAGCGAAAGCAAAACTCAAGATTAACTAATTTGCCTAAGGTCACCCAACGAGTTAAGTGGCAGAACAAGAATTTAAGGCCAGATTTTAAGCCTACATTTTTTTTTCATTACACCATTATGAATATTACATATAATCCAAATATTGCCATTTGTTTTTTATATATTCATGTGTTACTGATGATGCTTCCTTTTCTCTGCAGGGAATGGGCAGACTAACATGGTCCAGCTACCAGGTGGGAGATTCCAGATGGGAACAAATTCACCAGATGGCAGAGATGGTGAAGGGCCTGCCCGAGAGGTGACAGTAAAACCCTTTGCCATTGACATATTTCCTGTCACCAACAAAGATTTCAGGTACATCAGGTGTTCTTCCAGGAGGGGTAGAGACTCTTTCTAATTTTCATTCCTAATATCTAAATGGAAAGTAGCTTGTTTACTATAACATATCATCTTTGCAATAGTACTGTGGGATAAGTGTTACCTACATTTTTCAGATGAAGAATCAAGTCTGGAGACTCACTCTCTGTTAGTGGCAGAGCTGGGCCTGGAACTCAAATCCCCTGACTCTTCAGCCAGTGGATTTTCCATTACATTGGGTATAGCACTGAGAAATATAGGCAGAAGTCAAACACTCAACAAAAACCTCTTCCACAGGAGGGAGGGATTGGGAGAAGGGTCCTAGTAGCTGAGAGTCTCTTAAATTCCCTTTATTTTTACTTAGGGAAATGGCGTTAGTTTAGGACAAACATTATGGTTCCAGCTCAGTCTAAGAAGCCATGTTGAGCTGTCTCAGTCTCCTCAAGGCGGTATGTTTTGTGTATGTTTGTGTAGGCTAAAGCAGAAAATGATCCAGGAGATATCTGTAACTTACCTTAAATGATACAGGGGGACTATAGAAAGAGGAGTGGGAAAAGGAAAAGGAGGGAACAGAAAGACAGCAATGTGGGAAATGACTTAAATGTTACATTGTGGATTTAAAACTCTTTAAAATAAAAAGTTATGGGGAAAAATTGATTCAGGAGACACAGACTGAAGTAAACATAAGGATGGTTGGTGTACTTCTCAGGCCCTTTGACTTAGTGATTCCGTCTTTAGAGATTTTCCTTAAGGAAAGAATTAAGGTCTTAAAACATTTAGCTAAAAAGATGCCATTGTAAACAAATATTAACAATATAAGGATCGCTTAAACATACTGTATGTAACAACATCACAGAATATTTAGCAACCATTAAAATCCTGTTGTCAAAAAGAATTGTGAGATGTTAAGTGAAGAAAGTAGCTTACAAACAATATACAGGGTATGATCCTATTTTAAAAAGTATATGCATGGAGTGTATATGCATTTAAAAAGAACTGGAAGATGTAACATTGCATTAGGTAACAGATTTTACCCATGTTTTTGTGACTTCCAAAAGAAAATAATTCCAGGGAAGCGTCCCCCTTTTTTCTTTCCCCCCCGGGAAGCACCTTCTTAAAGCTATTTAAAAATTCTTGCTGGGGGGCAGAACAGGAAAGGATATGCACAGCTATATCTTAGTTGATGTGATAATGGATGATTTCAATTTTTTTCTTTTTATCTACTTGTATTTTCTCATTTTTCTGTAATACAATGTGCACTACTTATATGTGCTTTTTGAAAGAATTTTTATTAAAATTGAAGGAGAAATCACTTTTGATCAGGCTTGAGCTATATCATGACAACCAGAAATAGCTAGCTAGCTAGATGCACAGTGTGCACTTTTATATATTTCAAGTTATGACATATTTTATGATAGAAATCTTTTATATTTCAAATTATGGCACTTACGTATTTATTTATTTTTATGACCTTTTTATGATAGACTTCCAGCAAGCCCCTAAACTTTGCTTAGAACCCATGATTTGTCTCTGCTTCTCTGGTAAAAGATTTTCAAACTGTTCACATGCTCTGAGGTTGGTAAATAGCTATTGCTGCCAAATCTGATCACCTCCTCCATTCTCAATGCCCCTTTGATGGGTGAACACTGTCTTCTCATATCAGAGGGCTGGCACAGATGGGGTACTTTTAGCCCAATAAAAACAATCCATCTTACCCTGGCAGTTTGCTTGATGAATTTGCTATACCATAGCAAACTATGTGAACATCCATTCTAAAATTTCAACACATTATTTTTATTTGATTCCGTTTTTTTCATCTGTTAGATGGAGATAGTAACACACGTTCTGCCTCCCTCTCGTGATTGTTGTGAGAGTAGGTATGTGATGAAGACCTTTCAGAAAAGAGACCCATTCCCACCCCTAAATCTTCTCGACAGCTTTATTCATAATCTCCAAAAACTGGAGATAACCCCGATGACCTGCATGTACCTGGTGAATGGATAAGCAAAATTCGGTACATCCATGCAATAAAATGCTGTCCTGCAACAAAGAGGGACAAACGACCAATACTGGCAACACATGGACGAATCTCAGAAGCATTACACTAAGTGAAGCCAGACCCAAAAGCTACATAATGTATGATTCAATTTCTGTGAATTTATATTCTGGGCAAGGGAACACTATAGGGACAAAAAACAGATCAGTGGTTGTAGAGGCATGAGGGAATTTTAAGAGGTGTTTGATAGACTTGCTCTGTATCTTGATTGTGATAGTGACTATATGCTTTGTCAAAACTCACAAAACCATGCACTAAAAAGAGTGCCTTTCTATATATGAATTACACATAGAGCAACAGATTTTAAAAGAAAATCTCCTGCTCAGACTTTCATGTTAATTGCTTGTTGTTGATGGAAACTCTGTGATGTGTGGCTTTGAGGAGAAAGATATATGAGGTTTTCTGGAGCATGAGGGGGTGAGAGTGGGACATGGAACCTTATCAGCTTAACCAAGTGAAATATCTCTTCTCAGGGAGTTTGTCAGGGAAAAAAAGTACCGGACAGAGGCTGAGATGTTCGGGTGGAGTTTTGTCTTTGAAGACTTTGTCTCCGATGAGCTTAGAAACAACATGACCCATCAGATGGAGGTGAGAGAACCTGGGCTTGCAGCCGAGGGAATGTGAGCGGGTCATGGGCCCACCAGAGCCACCATAGAGAATCCCACCTGAGAGCTGCAGGCAAGGAAGGAGCAAGAGAGATCCTCCGTGGAAGAGTCAGAGGGGCATACACTCCCAGGACATTAACCCTGAGCTGGTTTCTGCATACTGAGACTCTGTAAGGAACCAGATACATGTAGGGTTCAAGTTACTCCCTGAACTGGCAGGAGAACAGCTTGACATCCCTCTAATAATGGTAGTGAGATGTCCTGCTTTCCGGGGTCCAGAAACAGCCGCACTTGGGCCACCTGAGTCCCAGTCTGAAGTATTTGTTCTGCCTCGTGTGTGTCAGTCAGGAAGGTGCCCTGGCTGGGTCAGAGCATCTTGCCGTCATACTTCTTTTTTGCAGTCTCTTCTCTGGTGGCTTCCAGTGGAAAGGGCATTCTGGAGGCAGGTAAGGGTTGTTTCCTCTGCCTCATTTTCTACCCCTGTTGACGCTTATTCTGGAGGCCTGGCTTCCCTGGAAGACCCCTTGCCTATCTAGAGACACTAAATTAAAAAGTGTGACAAATTTCAAGGCCAACAGCCAAGCAGCCCTGTTTCCTCTGCCCTGAGCTCTTTTCCCATTGCCCATCCCATTTCTCCCTTGGCTCATATTTATGCTCTTTCTGACTCTAGGCCTCTCTTCACTCACCAGGCTATCTCCTCCAACTTCCTTGCTCCATCTAGTGGTAAAAGCTGAACTCAGGCACCCTAAGCCTAGCCTTCCTCAGACTTCTGTGTGCTCCCAGAAGCCTGTCTCACTTCATCCTGGCTGTCAGCCTGCAGGTCCTGGCTCTGGCATCCGAGAGAGACTGGAGCTCCCAGTGGTACACGTGAGCTGGAATGATGCTCGTGCCTTCTGTGCTTGGCGGGGGAAACGGCTGCCCACCGAGGAAGAGTGGGAGTTTGCTGCCCGAGGGGGCTTGAAGGGTATAGAGATGGCACGGCGACTTCCCTTTATTCTTCTCCCCATCCTGTCCTGCATGGGGAGCTTTGAAGGGTGGGAAGGGTCCATACTCCCTAGAGCAGTGCTTCTTAAACTGTGTGGTGGAGGGCCAGTTGTTACTGTTTTCAATTCTGATCCATCTCAGACCAATACTTGTGTAAAATGCCAAAAAAATTAATAACTGGAAAACTGGAATAACGAAACAGACATAAAATTTGTTATTCTTGGAGATTCCTCCCAGGCATGTTACATTTCAATTAATATAATCAGAACGACATAGCACAGGGAAGAAGAAAAGAATTACCCAGACTGCTTTTTCCGTAGGTGTGAAGGGACTCACACAAACAATGAAGTTTTGCAATCCTAACTGAACAAAAAGTTAGGAGAAGGAAACAGCAACTCCCCATGTTCCACACCTCTGCTACTCTGTAAACACCAGCTATACCAATAGTCAAAATTCTTGTGATAAATGAGGTTGCTTATTTATCCAATCTAAGTCCAATTGACAAGTTTCTGAAATCTTACTCTCAATTTCTGTACTTATCTGGACATGATCTGGTAACAGATAGCTTACTAGACTGGCATTAGTCAGAACCACACCTGGGATTCCACTGTCCTAGAGCAGATCAGGAGACCAGGGGCTCTGAATGCGGGACAGTGAGTGGAAGGAACAGGCATGGGAAATAAAAGTAAGTAATCTCTCTCTTCTTTTCTCATCATCTCCTGACTTCCTTTTGGTTCCCTCACTCTCTCTGTCTTTCCCTCTTCCACGACCCTTCGCCTCCCCCTCCCCCACTCTCTCCTTGTTCTACTGGCAGGTCAGCTTTACCCATGGGGAAACCAGTTCCAGCCAAACCGCACCAACCTGTGGCAGGTAAGACATACATTCCTCACCCCTGTCCTTTCTCAAAGCACTGAATGAAACCTCCTGAGGCTAAGCATCGTGTTGGGCTGTGGGACTGCAGAGGGCTTTGTGTTCTAATGGGACTGGTAAACTGGTAAACTGGTAAAGCAAAAGACAGTGTGGTGGGGCTGCATCCTGAAGAGTTGTAGAAGTAAGTGACTGCCTGCGAATGGTGGGGGTGACTTCACAGAGAAGATGACATTGGTGCTGCTGGAATAGGAGTTTGCCAAGTGAAAAGTGGAGGAAAGGGCGTTCACAGCAGAAGAAACAACGTGAGTGTCAGCACTGTATTAGGAAAGGGTACTGTGTGTTCAGGGTTGGGACAAATTCAGAGAGGCTGGAGCACAGGGAAACGGGAGGTGTAGGAGATGAGGTAGACAGTGGGTTGTAGGCGGATTATGAAGGAGCGGGTGTGCCAAGATACGGTTTTAGATTTTCCCCTGTAGGCAGTGGGGAGCTGATGAAGGTTTTTAAACAGGGGACTAACAACGTAATTTGATTTGGGGAGGATGCTAGTTGCTAATTTGTGCAGGCCTAAATGAAATAGAGCTGCAGTGGTGGCGGGGTGGGAGGGGTCTCTGAATTTGAGGCTGTGGCAGTGGCCCAGGGGATTATGAACATGTGAATTAAGTAGAGGTGGAATGGGGAAGAAGCCAAATGGGAGAGGCATGCCTGTAAGATAGACGGGGTTTTGTAATAATCAAAGTGGAAAAGTGGGAGGGAGTTGGATTCAAGCATGAATCTAAGCTTGGGCAACAGGGTGACGGTGTTACCATTATCCAGAACAGATGACATGCATTTGGGGTCAGAGGGATAGAACTTGATGGGGTTAGCATCAGCTTAGTTTAAGGTGCCCTTTGTCATTTATATGCTCAAACATTGAAAATATGAGTCTAGATCTTAGGACAGAGGTCTGGGTCAGAGCAAGTGGTTTGGGAGTCATCAGCATATATCTTAGGCAAGAATGTTATCCCCCAAGGAGACTCTGTAGAGTAAGGGGCGGGGCACAGCATCAGCATTTCAGGGGGAAGCATTAAAAAGAACCCAAGGGGTAAACTGATCTTTTAGATGATCTTGGGATCAGAGCTTTGCAAAAAGACAGATCTGATTCACTGTGTGATCTTTGATAAATTAACCACTTTGAGCCTCAGTTGCCAGTTTTTTAAAGGGAGAAAATACTTGCCTCACAGCCTTGTAAGGATTAAAAGAGATAAATATGGCAGCCCGAACACATAGTAGCTGTTGAGTAAATAATTACCTCTTCATCTTCCCTTTAGTGAGATCAGTTTCCATAGAGTAGGGGGAGCTGAACCCCAGTTTTATTGAGAAGATTGAACAAATTGCATCAGCAAATATAAGTTCCTTTTTCAAGCATTTTGGTGGTAAAGAGCAGATGAAGACAGTAGAGTCAGGGCAGATGAGGGAGAGTTAAACCTGTTGGTGGTAGAAGGAAAGAGATGGTATAGGAGAGCACAGGGCAGGCATCAGTCGTCCTTGAGAAGGCAGGTGGTGCTGGGCACAGAGGAGGGGAAGAGGAGCCTTCCCAAGGCACTGAAGCACATGGGGTTCAAGGCAGAGGGGTGGAAGCTGCTGAGAGTGGAGAAAGTGGGAGTGGGATGGGCTTGACATAGATCACTGTGGGCACAGGGAAACCACACATTTCCGAATCCAGCCGGGAGGTAATGGTGGAGGACATGAGGTGACTAGTTTGGGAGCTCAGGATGGGCACCTCAGTGCACTGCCTCATGCCCTTCATCCTACCCCAGATGACACAGCAATATGACCTTGGTTTTCCTCTGGCCAAGCAGGAACACCCATCTTGGAACAGGATGGTAAATTTTTTAGCTTAAATTTCTCCCCCTTAGGGAAATTTCCCCAAGGGTGACAAGGCTGAGGATGGCTTCCATGGAGTCTCCCCAGTGAATGCTTTCCCCCCACAGAATAACTATGGTAAGATTTCCTATCATGTTGCTGTCAACACTCACAAACTGGTTGGTGGGATCACTCTGCCTGAAGGATGAGGCAGAGAGAAACACCACCAGGGAAGCGTTTGCTTCCCGAAGCCTTTGATACCTGGGGGGCAGGGGATGGGGGATGGTACTGCCCAACCTGGAACTGACCCACCTGCTGTGCTGCAGGGCTCTATGACCTCCTGGGCAACGTGTGGGAGTGGACAGCATCTCCATACCAGGCTACAGGGCAGGACATGCGTGTCCTTCGGGGGGCGTCCTGGATCGACACAGCTGATGGCTCTGCCAATCACCGGGCCCGGGTCACCACCAGGTGAGGAGACTGGTAGCCGGGGGCCGAGGGTCTGGGTCCTGGTCTCCCAGAGCTGGTGTTAGTGCTGCTTCCACTCCTCTATCTGCACCCCAAGTTGTGGGGACAGAAGAGAGCATACACAGCATTTGCCATGAGAAGCAAAAGGGCCTCAGGCAACTTGTGCCTTTTCTTGCCAGCTCTCGGTACCCGGAGAGACTGTGTGTCCAGCATCATAAGGGTTTCTCCCCTCGTCCTCATAACTAGTGGCAGAGGCAGGGCAGTGGAATGGCCACATCAGTATTGGTCATGGAAATACGCACCCTTCAAACTGGAGAGCACATGAAAAACCTTTTTGTTTTTTTTAAAGATTTTATTTATTTATTTGACAGAGACGGTGAGAGAGGGAACATAAGCAGGGGGAGTGGGAGAGGGAGAAGCAGGCCTCCCGAGGAGCAGGGAGCCCGATGCGGGGCTCGATCCCAGGACCCCGGGATCATGACCTGAGCCGAAGGCAGACGCTTAACCACTGAGCCACCCAGGTGCCCCGAAGAATCATTTTCTGTAACGATGTTGTTTTACAGTCAAGGAAAAATAGGTTCGCAGAGGTGCTGGGACCCGCTCATGTCACACAGATGGTTAATGCTGGCACCTGAGTGGTAGGGTCCCAGGCTCCCAAGTCCCCTTCCGGGGCTCTCTCTACTTTGCTCATCTGTAGGTTTATTTTGATGATTTCCCTCTGCCTCCTCCCATTCCTGGGTTCCAGAAGGACTAGAAAGAGACCACGGTTTCTTGGCCTCAGGAAGTCAGGTTTGCAGATGTTTCTTGGATACATTGAGGCCCCTGCTCTCCCTCACCTCCTTTTCTAGGACAAAGTAGTGGAGAAAGTACTGGCCTGGGAACCAGGAAGCTGGGTTTGCCACTAAATCTCTTGTGCCCATGAAGCAGTGGTTGGCCTTGGCCGAGACATTTAAATATTCCTAGTATCTGATTCTGGGTCTGTAAAATGGTGAACAAATCCTGCCTGCCAGAGGTGTGGAGAAAAGGCAAATGAGGGAATATATGTGAAAGTCTTTTGGAAAGTATGAAGTACTCATTGGCACTATGGTATTCTCACTTCTTACTGACAGGTTCTTTTCGGCTGAGTTATTCTAAACTATGAACAGTTGAAGTTACTAGTCATTGCCTTTCTTGCCTTCCAGAGCAGACTCTCATGACTGCTCAGTCACACTTGCTCCACCCTGTCCCAGGTCCCTTCTTATCCCCTTTTCCCCAGGAGTGCCCTCATACCAGGCTTCTTTCTGGACCCTGCCCTCCGTCCTCAGGCACCCTGGACCAGAGCAGACCCTAGGAGGTTGAGCATAAAAGTTGGGTAAGGCTCCAGGCCCCTTTCTCAACGAATGTCCATTCTCTTTCCTCTTCTCTGGTGGCAGGATGGGCAACACTCCAGATTCAGCCTCAGACAACCTAGGCTTCCGCTGTGCTTCCAGTGCAGGCCGACTGCCTGGGGAGTTGTGAACGGCCATGCAGAGCCGTGGTACCCGTGTCACTCCCTGGCCACATTCCCAACACAGTCAAACTTTAGCCTCAGGAATGACTTCGTGCCCCTTCCGCCATCCCTCTGTGGCAGGCATCTCTCACCAGGCCAGAAGAGGACTCTGACCTCAGAGGAGGGGTACCGCTGTCTCTTGAAGAAGGGACCTGACTTATTGATGGTGGCTGGGGAGCTGGGCGTTTCTCTTAGAGGTCAGATATTAACCATATAGGGGCCAGTCCTCAAACAGTTGGGGCACAGTGCTCTGAAAGGCATTTTGTTAAAAATTTTTAAATCTGTTCCCTCCCCCTTTCTCAGTGTCTCATGCAGGGATCCGACATTGTTTTCTCAAGGCAGAATTTCCCCATTTTTCTTTGTTTTCCCAGCAAACTGCTGTAGAAGGAAAATACTTCCTTTATTAGTCTCATCTATAGTGTTTCGTATGCCTCTGAAAGAACCTAATTTCTGTTATCAGTATGTAGAATGCAGTAGCTGGGCTCTCTAAAGCACAATGTGAGTCTTCAAAGGGTCTAGGAGAACCGAATTATGTGCCAGACAGAACTACATTGTGGGAGTCACAAAGTAAATAATACTCGAGAGAGACAAATACCAGAACCTTCCCTTTCTATTGTTAATTATATGAGGGCATCCATATGCCTGTAAACACATGTCCCTGGAAAAGAATCTGCTCCCATGGTGTCACTGGATGCTGTGAGTCAGTAAAATCTCCATGATTGTGTGTATCAGACCGTCGTCTCTTTTATCCTCCTCCTGGGACCCTAAGGGAAGTACGTGTGAGTGTCAGGAACTCTGGTCCTCCCATGAGAAGGACCCAAGATGGTGGTACAGCTGGGAAGTAGAGAAGCAGGAAGGCTCTCAAACCACCTCTGGTTCCCTTTCCGTGGGGCCTGGCCCTGAGCACCCTTACCAACATGTGATGGGAGCACCCTGCTCTTCTTGTGCAGAGCCTCTGAGAGGGGATAGTGGCCCTAGTTCCAGGGGTCCTTGCCAGGGCCAAGGGCCCCCTCTGGACAGAGGCCTGGACATGATCTCACTCCTCAGCTTATATTTCTGTGACTTTGCCTCCTCGCCTGCCCCCCACCCTACCTTCCCGCCTGCCAGCCCCTCAGTAGTCCTCCTCAGCCAGGGAGAGGAGCACAGCCTTGGGTGTGTTCTCGAAGAGGGCAGCCCGGTTCTGCTGCTGTCCCTTCTTCACCCAGTGTCCATAGATCCGGAAAGCATAGGCATCGATGAGTCGGCGCAGAGGTCGGAGGGCATAGGGGTCACGGATGATGATCTCCCGGCTCACAGGCTTCACCCGGCGGTACTGGTAATAGATCCGCACTGAAGCCAGAACAGTTAGAGCGATCACCTGTGGAGAGCCAGAACTGGGAAGCTGGCCCAGCCCCTGCCGGCCGGTCTCCTCCCCCTCCGGTGCAGGGGGTCCCTGAGCTTGTTTGCTTGTTTGCCATGAAGCCTTGTGTGCCTACTGCTGGGCCCTTCCTCGTGTTCCCCCTTCCATCCCAACCCCTCCTGCATCTGCAGAGATGTGGGCTGTAGGAGCCAGAGGGGTGACGTCTGCCTTCTCTGAAGTCAGAAGTTGAGCTGCTGGAAGCATCACAGGGGTGGGTGGGGAGGGGAAGGGCTGGTGCTCTGGAAGCCTGGTGGGTGAAAGGAGGAGTCCCTGGGGGAAGGAAGGGGACTTGGGGGCTTGGACTTGAGGAGTCCTGCCCCAGGGCCCTGGGTGGGAGGGGAGCTTCAGTACCTTGAACTTGCCCCAGGGACTGAAGTGACGCACTTCTTCCACCACATACTGCTGGAAGAAGGGATGCGCTAAGGCCTCTTCTGCTGAATAGCGGCCCTGGGGGTTCACCACCAAGAATCGGGAAACCTGAGAGAATAAGGAAGGGGAGCGGAAAACACCAAGGCAGGCTCCCCTCCAGCACTTGAAAAGACATAGGGTCTTCCCAGCAGGGTCCTCCGTTCTATAGCACGATATGCCCCCCACCCCTGTTGGGGACTTCCCCTCGCCTGAGTGGAGGAGCCAGCAGGCCTGGCCTCTCACCAAGTCCTTCACAGTGTCTGAATAATCATCCCATTCAGGTGAGCCAAACTGGTAGTTGCCACTCATGATCATCCTCAGCATCAGCATCTGTTTCCGGTGCCAGAAGGGCGGGGAGCCAGCCAGCAGGGTGTACATGATGACCCCGGTGCTCCACCTGGCACCAGGTGGACAGGGAGGAAGGCAGGAGGGCTGGCTGCAGCTCCTGCCATTTCCTGCCCTCCCCAGCCAGGTGCTCCTAGCCATGGGAACATCCCTGTCCCTATGGGTCACTGCCTTCCCCAACACACTCACATGTCCACCTCCTTCCCATAGCCTGGGTGGTCATCGTTCATGGAGCATTCAATGATCTCAGGGGCCAGGTAACTGGGAGTCCCACAGACCTCTGCAGGAACAGTTACCATCAGGATAGGTCAGCCGGGGGCACTTGGAAGACAAGGGTCCAAAGGAAACAACGGAGATGAAAGTGCCACGGTGCTTGGGCTGGGACTCAGATTCTAACACTGACCAACTTCAGGACCAAGGGCAGGGGCTGAGTGCTGGCTCCTAGGACCACCTGCCAGGGCCGGTTTCCTGGCCTGGAACTCAGGCGGTGGGAACCTGGCCCAGCCCTGGGAAGAGGCTTACCTGAAGAGACAGCTTGAAACAGTAGGATTTTTATCTCGGAGGGGGGGAGCGGGAGAGGGGAGGGGGAATTGGGGAAGAAATGCAAGCATTTTCTGTTCCTGGGAGCATGGATGAGAGAGCCTGAGCCCTTGACATGGGCCAAGGTCATGTTACCAGACCTCGAAGCTTCTCTCCTGGCTCCAGCTGGCAGGAAAAACCAAAGTCTGTGAGCTTGATGTTCATGTCATCATCCAAGAGGATGTTCTCAGGCTTCAGATCCCGATGCACAATGTTGAGTTTGTGCAAGTTGCGGATAACCTCCAGCAAGGCTCTCATGATCTTTCTGGGGTGGGACAGGCACATGTTACTCTTATCTCCTCCTCTGCAGGCCAGGTAACAAGCAGGGAGACCAAAGCCCATATACCTGCCAGACTGCCAGTGAGGGAGGACTCAGGACAGGCTGGGGGAAGGCTACAAAAGCCTGCAGGGCACACCCCCAGCCCAGACAAACGCATGCTTTGCCCCCTCCAAGACCTTGGTGGCGGTACCACTCATACTCGGGGGCAGGGAGTGGTGATGGGGACAGATGGATCCTTACCTGGTTTCCTTCTCACTCAGAGTGACCTTCTCAGTGAGGTAATCAAAGAGCTCCCCTCTCTTCATCCTGTGGGGACAGAGTGTTTGTAGCTGGATTGGTTCCAAGACCACCCCCTCCTTATCCTGCTCCCAGAGACCTATTTCCTTCCTCATATCTCCAGAGACAAAGTGGGCCACAGTGAAGGACCCAGGGCTGTAGGGAAAAGCCGGGGAAGTGAGTGGAGAGGCTATCTGAAGATTAGAAGAGCAGAGGATGCTGAAGGGGTGGGATGGCACCAGTGTCGGGGTTCCCCCATCGTGGAAGTGACAGCACAGACTGGGATCTGTGAGGGTCAAAATCAGGGCTGGGAGGTGAAAGAGGGACCCAGAGCCACTGGCCCAAGGCCCCAGATCCAGATTAGAAGGACAGGAGTATCCTGATTCTTCCCAGGAATGAATGGTAGAAGCAATAGTACAAGTGCTGGGGGAGCAAAGCTTGCTTATTTTAGGATTAAGAATTACGGTTCAGTCTTCTCACTTCTTGGGATGATGTAGAAAGAGGTCTCTGCTAGAACAATCTAGTTATACTCTGGAGGGCAACTCAGGACAGCATTAAAAATAGCTTCCCCAAGCAACTTCTTCAAAGGTTAGGGATATTTGAGCTGCCCTCACGGGCTCTACAGGACCATGCCACTGAGCGGAGTTGGGACAGCTGCAGCTGGTTAAGTCTTGGGGGTCCTGGGAGAGTCTCCCGTGGTTAAATAGGAAAGGTATGTCCTGCCCTCTCCCACTCACCCCTCCAGGGAAATTGGTGGGATTCCTAAGGCACAAGGGATTTGGCTGGTGGCACAGAGGCAAGAAAACCCTTGAGCTTAGCTGGTGGGGTGGGGAGGGGGTTCTGTTTGAGGAGATAACCTAGAATTTACAGAGGTGAGCCTTACTTATACAATACCTGTACTGTGTTCCTAAAAGGTAATGTGTGAATCCAGTTTTTATCATTTTTTTTTTTAAAGATTTTAGTTATTTGAGAGAGAGAGAATGAGAGAGAGCACACACATGAGAGGGGGGAGGGTCAGAGGGAGAAGCAGACTCCCCGCCGAGCAGGGAGCCCGATGCGGGACTCGATCCTGGGACCCCAGGATCATGACCTGAGCCGAAGGCAGTCGCTTAACCAAACAAGCCACCCCGTTTTTATCATTCTAATTCCATATTAAATACACGAGGAGAATTCACTGTTAGCAGCTGCAGAAAGATTTACCAGTAAACACTGGGTACTGCCTTCCTGGAGTTGGTAGTTTAATTGAACACACAGATCAAGTTACCTTGTGTCTCCAAGTAAAATAACCTTGCACATACTCAGTATGGCTACAGTATGAAACGTTCACAATCAGTATGAACAGTATGAAACAATACAAAATCTACTTGAATAATTTCAAGTAAATCCAGTCCCTAAATTAGCTGTTATATATGGAGAAATCAAGACAGCCCCACGACATGATTCATGCAGCTGAGATTTGCATTCTTTAGTGAGGACTCAGTGGAGTGGGGGAACAAGGAGCTGGAGAGCTCCCTTCTCTGGCAAGCTTTTCTGATAAAAATCATAATAAGTCTGAATGCATTGTTCACAGAACACTTTGTGTTGTTGGAATTTAATGCTGAGAGCCTGGTTGGTGTCATTTTTCCTTTCTTGAGAAAACAGAGGCTCCCGGAGCTAAAAGGCCCACTGGGAGCAGGGCCCTTGCTCTCTGGCTCTCCCTTCTGCCCTTCTGCTGAGCCTTCTTCAGGTCTTGGCTCTGATCCCTCCCTCACTTCATCTGGGTCTCTGCTCAGGTCGCCTTCTGGAGAACATTCCCTGACCATTTAAAGAAGCCCCACCTCTCTCTAACCCCTGTTCTGCTTTATGTATCTGTACGTGTACATAACTGCGCACGTAGTATGGCTTATTTTATTGCTTTCTGTTCGCTCACTGTGAAAATTGTTACATGAAGTCAGGGACCTTATATGTCTTGTTCATTGCTGTATCCTCCATGTCTAGAATGAGTATTCAATGACCACCTTTGTCATCATCATTGTAGTTAATAATTTATAGCATTTACATCCTGCCATTCACTGTGCTATTATTACTTCTGTAATACCCACGAGAAAACAGATACTTAAAGAAATCATCTAGCTTCCAAATGGCGGACCCAGGATTCAAGACCTGGCAGCCTGACCCCCAGGGCTGTTCTACCTAAAGCATTGGTGATCCTACTTGGCCTCCACAGTGTAGAGAGCTGGCTGTTGGTGTCCAGGAAGCACTGGAAAGGGGACCACAATAGGAGGTTCTCCGACAGGCCCTAGGGTGTGGCTGGCTCCGGGGCTGGGTACTTACAGATCAAACACCAAGAAGAAGAAAGTGTTGGTCTCATAAGTGTCCTTCAGCTGTACTGAAATGGAAAGGACTAACTTGTAGCAGGAGAGCTTGGGCAGAAAGGCAGCAGGGGTAGAGGGCAACAGGATTAAAACTGCTTGGACCCACCCCAACAGCTGGAAGCCGTATCAGAATGGCGTTCAAAGGAGGACCCCCAGGGAGGGACCCGCCCAGGGGCTTCACTTTCCCATTCCCCGACCTGCAACCAGCCCCAGCCCTGCTTGCAACCCCTTCTGTCTGGCTGGAAGAGGAGGCTTAGAGCTGAATCTCCGCAGCGGTGAGCATGGAGCTGGGAACCTCAAGCCTCAGGGCACTGGACTGGCAGGGCTTCAGGGGACACGAGACACCCTGGGGGTTCTGGCTAGCTGCAGAGTGGGGCTGCACTCCCTGACTTGGGTTATTAGAGCAGAATCATGGTGGAGCACCCTGCTGGGGTGAGTAGGGCCATTACTCACCGATGTTGGGGAGCCCTGAGACCTTGCGCAGGATGTCCACCTCCTTCAGCGTGGCCTCTCGCAGCTCCCGCACCTGCTCAGAGCTGAAGCTGCCTCCACCAGTGACGTCAATGATCTTCACAGCGTACTCCTTGCGCGTGGGCTTGTGGATGCAGCGCCTGACGACGCTGCTAACTCCTCTGGGGGTGCAGAGCACAGGTGGTCCCGGGGGCCCCTCACCCCAGGGAGAGCCCAGGTCCGAGCCCCCACAGAGATGTCCTGCCTCATCCACCAACTCCCTGGGAGCTTTGGGGGATGGTAGGATGAAGAAGGCAGATGGAGGATGATTTGTCTGGAGCTGATGAGTAATAAGCCTGGTTTTAGGACTCTTGACTCCTAGTTCAGTGCTCTTTCTCAGCATCTAAGGCCATAATCTTCCCTCTGACCCCTGATCTCTGACACTTGGCACAAAGCTGGGTTTGGACGTGCTTGTCAACAGCACCGGGAGAGCTGTGCTGGGAGAGGTCTCTTATTTGGGTGCTTTTATACCCTTCTCATCTGTCCTGGTCAGGAGGGCAGGACCCCAAACTAAGGGTTTCTCCAAGTGGACAGTGCTTTGGGGATGGAAAAGGGTCAGTGCTCAGGGCCCATGGAACTGGCTGGAGCCTAAGACAGCACTTCCTGGGGAAGGTCTGGGCCTTACCTGCCCAGGATCTCCTTGGGCTCATAGTTCTCATAGAAACCCTGTGCTGAGTACGAGTCTGGAAGTGCCTCATCCCGCGTCATGCTCAGCAACTCTGGGGTGATTCTGAGGGGCTCTGAGAGAGAAATAGAAAGAAGCTGTCAGCTAAATTCTACCCCTGAAACTAATAATACACTAGGTGTTAACTAAATTGAATTTAAATTAAGAATTTAAAATAAAAAAAGAAGCAGCAGCTGTTAGCCATCGTGATCTAGGTGATGTGCTTTTTGAGGGCTGGAACCCTTTCTTGCTCGTCTGTATCTCCTGGCACAGAGCAGGTCTATTGTGAGTGTTCAAAATAAATGTGAACTGAAAAACCCTTTGGAAAGAGTCCACCTGCATCTTCCCACTGGATGTAAACTTTTGTGAACCCCAGGCAACCACGCGGCTGCCCGAATGTTCTCGCTCTAAGCTGCCGCACCCGTAGTAGCAACCGCAGATGGTTGGCCAGGCCTAAGCCCAGGCCAGAGGCAGGAGGTTGGGCATCAGCCCCCAAGATCAGCTCTGACGAGGCCGGCACACCCTTGCTTTTAGAAAGAACCCCAGAGAAACTTTGCAGAGGACAAATTAAAGGGCCATTTCCTCTCTTTGAGGAGATGAGGCTGGTCCTGCTTTTCCTCTGCTTGTTCGCTGCACTTGTGGAAAAGATGAGAAGTTTCATGATTTCGTCTTAATATGGCAGTCCTATAGACTCTCCTAACCACCTGCAGTCCTAACTGTGCTCACCTGAAAACTCCCCTCCTTCCAGGACACACTTCCAGTGCTTCTCACTGTTCCTTACTCATTCTGCCCTTAACCAGGACTTCCCTAACCTTACTTCCTGCCTGCCTGCCTCCGTCCCTCTGCCTCTCCCTCCCTGTCTCTCTCTTTCTTTCTTTCTCCCTCTTCTTTCTTTCATACTCTTTGAGAAGCACTCTGCCAGGTGCTCAGAGGGATGCAGAGCTTAATGGTCCCAGGCTCTGGTATCATTTGTCAGTGTGTGGGGTTACCTCCTCCATTAGACTGATCTTCTCTGAGACGTCCCAGCCATTCCTGCCCCCTGTGCCCAGTGCTGCTTCCCGGATATGAGTCAACGGTTGGAGGTATCCCTTTGGCTCAGGGTCCTGATGGCAGGATGGGCCTGTCCTCAGAATGTCCCACGTCCTACCAAAATACTGGCCAGCGAGCCCTGAGTGATCCTGCCGCAGTGTGGGGCGGTACAAAGCCAGGATACTCAGGCCCGGACCCAGAGCTGCTGAGCTGGCTGGCTTTGCCTCAGGAATATAGATGCCACCAGGGTACTAAACTCCTACCTCAGATTCAGGATTCGAGGGATGGAGAAAATCATCTACCAACAGGAAGAGGGGCAGACAGAAAAGGGGCGCAAGATGACACTCAGCAGGGCCGAAGCTACCTCTAGTCCCACTCCTACTGCCCTTTCTGGGCCCAAGAAGGCCTGGCCTATCAAAGGGGCCAATTTGCCGACCAGCCAAGTGGGGCTAGCTGTTCCAGGAAGCCTGGCGTCCCCAGTGCTGGTGCCTGGTTACTAGAGGAAGAATTAGAATAACAACAGTCTCCTCTGCCAACAGCCGGTGCCTGGGCTGCTCACAGCCTTCCCAGTCAGCAACCCCAACCGAGCACCGAAATATCTGTTCCTGTTAAGACAAGCCCATTTCCTCGCAAGTCCTTTTTAAGTTCCCAAGATGGGCGTCTGTGCCCCCCACTTCCCCAAACTGGGTAGCACACGGTCTCTCCCTTTCCCCAGCCCACTACAGGCAGAGGGTATATCTGGGCCCACCCCAGGAAGCCATCCAGGCTGGGGGCTCCATTCCCTGGCATGCACTCACCTCTCTGGGGCGGGGCGGAGGGCCAGCCCCTTGCTCTAGGCCTAACTTGGGGCCATCTTTGTGCTTCTGTCCATTGCCTCCACCCACACTCCCCACACCTTTCCCAAGACTCCTTTGGAAGGGGTCCCCAGACGGGAGTAGGTAACCTGGTTCTTTTTGGAACAAAACATCCCTCCCCCAAGCTCAGAAAGTCTGAAAATACAGGGAACCCACTTTCTGTAGGCAAATACCCTGAGGGGGCTTCAAGAGTCAATGGTGTCATTCTGCATCCATCTGCCTTCAGAAGGGAAAAGTGGGTCTAACAGCTCTTGGGGTTTCTGTCTTCTCTGCCGCAGAGCCTCTCCCTCTCTCTGCCTGTCGCCTGGCTTTTGTCCATCACTGGCCCAGCTACTCACTGTTAGGTCCTCGCAGGCCCTTGAGTGAATGTGACAGGAATCCCAAAGGTCTCAGAGCCCCTTGGGGAATGGGGACAACTGAGGGCTGAAGCAGTTCCCCCGCAGACACTCGTGGCCACAGTAGGATATCTTGCTGCTCGTCCTTTGGGCTTTGCTACTTGGTGACGGAAGGCGGACGTACCAGAAATAAATCACAACTGCAAACCTGGGATGCAGGCCAAGGCCCGGCAGGGGCCAAGTCTCACCAGGAGGTGACCTCTGCTGGAGGGTGAGGGAAGCTCAGCAGAGGTGACCAGTCTCCCCTTTGGAGCTCCGTTGGCCTCCAGGCACAGAGGAGACAAAGCCAGCCTTGGTGGGAATGCATTCACTTCTCTGGGAGCCATTTCTGTACGTGCTGAGAGCAGGGCTCTGGAGAAAGCCCAGCACACCCACAGAGCAGCCCTGGCTGCCATGGGGACCCAGAGTTGGTGCCCACCCAGGAACAGTTTGTGTGGCTGACCCGCAAAATGCAGACTTGAAGCGTTAGGGAACGTCCCCGTTAGGAATCTGTCTCTGATCTACCTCCGTGATTTCATCCTTAACCCATTTGGTGTTCAGCCTGTGGGCCACTGGGAGGAGCTCCGGGTGCCAGAAAAAGCGTATGAGCTCTGACAGGGTGCACCTTTGGGCTGTTTGGGTGAGGGTCCTCATCAGAATGATGAAGAGGTTGACAGAATTGGAAATAATGTATGTGACGTGCTGGCACACAGTAGATACTTACTGCTCTCTTGTTCTAAAGCTACTTTTTTTTTTAAGATTTTATTTTATTTATTTGTCAGAAAGAGAAAGCACACAAGCAGGGGGAGCGGCAGAGGGAGAAGCAGGCTCCCCACTGAGCAAGGAGCCCAATGTGGGGCTCGATCCCAGGACCCTGGGATCATGACCTGAGCCGAAGGCAGCCGCTTAACGACTGAGCCACCCAGGCGCCCCTAAAGCTCCCTTTTTCAAACCCCTAATTCTAATATAACAAATGAAGGGAGTCGTAATACAGTGCTTCACACAGAGGCTGGGCCCACAAGCACCCATTTGATTAGCATTTCACAAAGCACTTGCACATCTTCACTTGCATCCTAAAACTCTGGTATTAAGCCCATGGTAAAGAGAATGTGACTTGCTCAAGGTCACGAAATAGGTGAGTAGGAGGGCCCAGACTAACCCCAGGTGTGGGCCCAAGCGCTCTTTCCATTATTCATGCTGACCACCTATTTCTTCCACTCTGGGGAGGTACTTTCCTGGATTGCTGCATAGACAGGAGTTGCGCATGACCTGGGGTCTATGCATAAAGGCCTCTGCTTGCTGAGATGCAACATCTGGCTCCAATGATGGGAACACTTCCATCTCGTCCTTTCACTCACTGTCACTAAGCTCCCCGATCCCTTTTGTTGTCCTCATGTTAAGCTATAGACTTGACTTCTGCTTTATACCTCAATGTTTATAAAATCCCTTCTAACCTCAGGGCAAAAGGCCAATGTATCTAGTGGATTATTCCCTGGGTCTATCTCTGTGTAGCCATGGCTCCTACCAGGGAGAGGCCAGGACAGCCAGACTCTCGCATTTTATTGATGTCAGCAGTTCATTTTCCTTTTACTTTTTACCTTATTTAAATTCAGTTATCATATACTATATTATTAGTTGCAGAGGTAGAATTCAGTGATTCATCAGTTGCATACAACACTCAGTGCTCATTACTTCAAGAGCCCTCCTTAATGCCCCATCACCCAGTTACCCCATTCCCCCTCCCACCTCCCCTCCAGCAACCATCAATTTGTTCCCCAGTTAAGGGTCTCTTATGGTTTGCCTCCTTGTTTTCATCTTATTTTTCCTTCCCTTCCCCCATGTTCATCTATTTTGTTTCTAAAATTCCACGAGTGAAATCATATGGTATTTGTCTTTCTCTGACTTATTTCACTTAGCATAATACCCTCTAGTTCCATCCACGTCATTGCAAACGGCAAGGTTTCATTCTTTTTGATGGCTGTTTACTTTTTTTTAACGGAAACTCTACACTTTATGGGGCTTTAACTTATAACCCCAAGATCAAGAGTGACATGCTCTACCTGCTAAACCAGCCAGGTGCCCCATTTTCCCTTGATTCATTGATTCAACAATACACTATTAGGGTACCCACCACATACCATCACACCTTGGACATTAAGGGGCAATAGCACTATGAACTTAGAAGTCCTGAGCTTTCCCAGAAATGGGCAAAGGAGCCCACTGATGAATCCAGAAGGAAATATGGTGGGGGATTTGCCAGAAATGAACTTTCTGTGGTGATTCAGGCAAGGTGGTCTTGGCCCCTTTCAGGAACTCAGTAATACTGAGTGGGGCCCTCTAGGGGCACCTGGGTGGCTCAGTTGGTGAAGTGTCTGCCTTTGGCTCGGATCATTATCCCAGGGTCCTGGGATGGAGCCCCACGTCAGGCTCTCTGCTCAGTGGGGAGCCTGCTCCCTCTCCCTGCCGCTCCCCCTGCTTGTGCCGTCATTAAATAAAATCTTAAAAGAATTAAAAAGAGTGGGGCACTCTAAGAACACAGCTGAGAACAGGAGACAGCAACTGAAAAATTTACTCAATAGCACTTTCCTCACCTTGTAGTAACACAGGTCTCTCAAACTTACAGATTGGAAAAGAAATCAGATAGCCTCGGAAAGGTCCACTGGAAAGTAAAGTGCAGAGCACAATGTAGGCTGGAGATAACTTCCAGAAGTGAATGAAATTTTGAGTTGTGAGGAAGGGAGCTGGGTTCATTTTTAAAAAATGATGCACCCCAAATTGAGTCCATCTCAAGACAACATGGAGTGGGCAATCGCAGCTAGCTTGAGTCTTTCAGCAAAGGGAAGCTACAGTGCCTTACATAGAAGAAAAACATTTTCAGGGGGACTGCCTGTATTGAGAGGCTGGTTTTCATCTCTGACCAATTAACTGGATACAGTAGGGGAAGTGACATGTAGTGCTGACCTGGCCAGAGGAACCCACTCACGTAATAGGTCTATTCCCACACTTCCTGTTACTGCTCAGTTTACCAAACACTGGCCTTCCACCTGGAACCTGGAACCTTTTTAATAAGCACTATGTTTACTAGTGAGCTACTCCTTACAGAACTACTTTTCTACAAAAGCTCAGGGAGCTCGGCCAGATCATCCAGGTGGATGCGAATTTAATACTGAGACTATAAAACGGATACGCTTAAAGACAAGTTAAGACAATTGGGTACTTTTGCAAAATGCAAATACCGTATCTAACTTATAATCTTACACTTCAAAGACACCACATTTTGGGAGAAAATCACTTTATTCTAATTAATTCACAAATGAGAACATCACAAAAGGTGATATAAGGAGGCACACAAACATCTGCCCAACCCCAAATTCAAACCATCTCAATGAACTTCTATACAGTAAGAACAACATTTTTCATTCCAATTCTGAAGAAAGCTGTATTTAATGATGAAGGAGAAGCTTACTGGTGGTTTTACACCTTACATATTCACCTTCAATTATATTTTTATGCTAAATTAACTTGGTTATGAGAGATGATTTTCCATATCTTCAATTTGAACTTCTTGATTAGGCTAATCCTGCAAACAGAAAAGATAAGTTAGAAGAGAAATAGCTGTATATTCTTAACAAAGTAGAAGCCCTCCAAATGATAAAAGGAGGGATGAAAGCCCAAGGTTATCAGTTTCTTGCCTAAATGAAGGCAGGAAAATGAAAACGGAACATTTTAATAGATGGTGAATTCTTAGGTCAACAGGGGGAAGTTACATAAAAACAAGTTCACTGCCCACATTCCACACAGCCCAAACCTCAGAGTTCCACTGAGGGACTGAATACACTCATCTCTCAAATAATCTGTGAAGAATGCCAAGGACTTATCAGTCTTTATACCCAACCTTGGACTTCAGTGAAAATGGAATGTAATTTTTTATTCACAGCTTTAAGGCTGTAACACCCACATCCTGTAACCAGAACAAGACGTGGCACACTAATCTACACCCACTTAAGGAGGAATCAGATTCACAACATAACTGGTAAAAGCGTAAGATAATGACTAGAAACCTCTGGACCAGCTCTGTTAGAAAAACTACATTATTTTTAGAATGAAAACAAAATCTCCTCTAGGGCCCAGGAGTATCATGCTGTGAACTGCACAGATGCAGGTTCAATCAGGGATTGATGTTATCACCTACCATTTGCAAATCTGCACTGTTTCAGCACCTCGCTGAAACCTTCACAAAGCTTCAGGTCACCCTGGTTCTGGGCGCACTCCAGAAACTGTTTCATCTCATAGTGGCATGGGCCAAACTGCTGCTGCTGCTGTGCGGCCTGGGTTCCCTGAGGCTCCTGCAAAGGCGTTAACATTCAGGACCATTAAGAAAGGAAATTAGATTTACGCGTGAACAAAGAACAGTATCCAACGTCTTTGAGGTCAGCTGGGGAAACATAACTACAACTAGATGCAAATTAAAGTTTCCATCTAATAACATGGAAAGTGAAAAATTTTAAAGGCAGAAAGCGAATCTGTGTCTTTGGGGCATCTGGGTGGCTCATTCATTAAGCGTCTGCCTTTGGCTCAGGTCATGATCCCAGGGTCCTGGGATCGAGCCCCACATCAGGCTTCCTGCTCAGCGGGGAGCCTGCTTCTCCCTCTCCCACTTCCCCGCTTGTATCCCCTCTCTCGCTGTCAAATAAATAAAATCTTAGATAAATAAATAAATAAATAAATAAAGGCAGAAAGCAAATGGGCTTTAATCCAGTTATAATCAGAAAGACTCAAGAACAAAGACGCAAAATACCAGTGAGGTTCAGTGAAGTTTCATGGAGGAGAAAGTGGGACTATTCTAGAGAAACGGATGAGAGTATCAAATACACCAGAAATACAACAGAGTATACACTATACACTCATGCTCATCAGAGGAGAAAATTCACATACTTCAGAAAGAGGGGCAGTGGCAAATATCGTTAAGAGGTCAGAGAGCACAGAGCGACTAAAGAGATTTTTAAATACTTAACTAAGATTGAGACTAAACTTAAAATAAGGGGAAAATGGCTGTTTTACAGTGAAATCAGGCTGAACTGCTATTCTACTCCTTGGGAACAAATACAGTTTGTACAGTACTTGATGATGCTGGTCTAAGGCACTAACTGAACTGCCAAACATGGCTTTTGATAAGCCATCTTCTGCTAAGAGCACTGTGGTTTCTAAAATTATAGTTCCTGGGGC